GGTATTATCGTTTGTCTGTTGCCTCCTGACTCTGCCGTTTCGACTGTAAATCTAGAATTGACAAAGAATTTGAGAAAAATGAAAGGGAAAATATATATTTTTTTCTATTATAAGGTGTAGAATTTTTTAAACAACCAGAGATGGAAGATATTGAAGTTTAATTGCAATGGATAACAGTAAATTACAACCAAGGAACTTTTTGAAAAATGTAATGACCTTTATATAAGTTTATTAAATCTCAATCTAAGTCTAAGTCTTTAATCTCGAAACAACAAAGTTTATATCAAACGTAGTTTCATCGATGACTTTTATCCTGTAATTCAAATTTTTATCGAAGTAGAAGGAACACAAGTTAATCCACAATACGATCAGAGTCCAGTAAGGGATTATCGTTGACGCGTAACAACCTACCGACGACCTTTATTTTTAGCACAAAAGCGGACGAAGTAACGTGCACTGGTCGTTTTACCGAAGGCGTCATCTCACAGTCAACCGTCATTCTTTATCCGTTGACCCGCACGTTCTCCACTTTTGTCGCCAACTGCACAGAAAGGAAAGCAAACAGAGGGGCCGGTTACCGCTAATTACTTGACTTCTCATCTTGCAGCCACGCGCTAAATAGCCGCCCTTTTCTTTACACAGCTTCATTGACCCGTCGGATAAGAAATGGGTAAAGCGCTTTTTGCTCATCTTTCTCGCATTTTTCCTCCTTTTTCGTATCGTCAGCGTTGAGTTCGTGGGGGCGTTTATCGATCGCTCCGCAAACATTTGTCATTTTTAATGAAAGATATTAGTGCAAATGTGTGACCTCACGCGGGATGTTACGGGATTTCACATTGGAAACACCGGTGTATATAATTACAACGTATTATCATTTTAAACTAATTTATTATTGAATCGATGCAAGACAGAAATCGCCTGAAGTTTCAAAATAAATTAAACATCACTGATGTTATATTGTATAATGTATTAATGCAAATCTTTGCTGAAGCCATTTTGAAACGGCCTATTTAATATTTCAAATAACATTTAATCTGTAGAAAACAATAAAAAGAGAGAGAAGTGGAGTTATCGAAATTTCATTATGTTCGGGGAAACACTATATTATACATTGATCAATCAAAATATAATTACTACTACTAAAACTATAATTACCATTTCCATAATTGACGACATTGTATGAATCTATCAAAGTACGAAATATTTTGAAAACCTATAACTTCCTCTATAAAATTATAGGAAATCATTATTTACTTAATTCTCACGACAGTATTATCGGTGGTCTTGAATAGCTTGTCATTTATGTCCTAACGACATTAACGTCATGGCTCGATAGGGATTACAAAACTGTGCCATCAGATTATCGTAACACCGTGCCGAGTCAAACGCGACGTGATAAACGCTCTTCATTCACTGCTGACAAAATTTACCAAAGGTTAAAAGCAGTGTAATTGATCGCCGGTGCTCTCAGTTGCATTAACAGGGAAATATCAACGATTTGCTCGAGCGATATATTCCCGCTCAAAAATTGTTCCCATCTTTGCTATTTTAATCTCAACTTTACTTTTCTGCCAAGGGAACAGATTAAAGTTGTTCTTGATACATGGAAAACGCTTTAAGATTTATCTGGGAAATACTAGCAAAACGTGAATAAGAAACTTGGTCGAAATCTCGAGCGTTGATCGTCAAGTAGAAACTGACATAATTAACCAGACGCGTCACATGGAACAACTAAATTGTATTTTATGTTCTTTTTTTATTTTTATCCCTTTTCCTGGCTATTTTTCAGCATTATTTATTTAATTCGCGGAATACAGCGAGAGGATAATTGGCGAAAAACGCGTATTCTATTTCAATAAAAATTTGTCTATCAATTGTACAGCCAGCCGTTCAAATATTAATCTTTTTCCACGGCCTCGTTTGTCAACTATTAATCGAGCTAATATTAAAAACCTGTTAAATGAAAGTATATTGGAAATCGTATCATCAAAACCATGAGCTATGCTATAATGTTTTATATTTAGAGACTCGTGTATTCCTTTACTGCCCAATCTTTCTAAAACTCGCTGCTCCATGAAATGTAATATTTCAGTTGAGTCAGCGAAAGCTGCAGTTAAGCTTGAAAAATATCCTAATTCTCAAAATTGCCTCTGCCGATACGTGCGTCCACAACGTTTTAGCCATTTATAGGTCAGTCGAAGGAACTTCGATGATTCCTATTAACGCTCGACTAGCAAAGATAATCGTAGAGGAATCGATGTCGCGATTAATTAGCTAATCGCGATATAATAGCATAATAGTATATTCTGCGAAAATAACGATTATCCTCCTACGTTGTGTTGCCATTAGTAATTTGAGTTAGCCAGGTTATTTCAAACTCGCGTCATTAACAACTAATGAGAGCATGGAGTTTAGGAAATGGAACATTCGTGGAATTGTAAAACGAAAATATCAATGATACGATTAAGCTTCATTAACCTTATGCACGAAATATTATCCAATAGAATTATAGATAAACGCCGACTCCTATTTCAGGCATCTAAATGCGATGGCAATAAATTAAAGATATACATAGTTAACGTTCGATTGAATTTCAACGATGTAACCGCCGAATACAGAGTCACGTTTGCAATGAGAATTATGTCAACCTACAATATCATCATTCATTAGAATTCAATTGTCCAGTTTACTCGTATCTCGAATAACAAACGTATTATTTTTTTAAAATTTCTATTAAAGTTGAAATATAACAGAATTTAAATGGTGCAAGACACGCTTTTGCAATGAATATCATGAAGTCACTATTCGTCATAATCTGATTAACCAATCCAACCGTGTTCCAAGCAGCGAACAAGATAAAAAGAATTTTTTATTTCAGTGAAAACATTCTAAAAATTAAATTATGTAGACTCGTGTTTGCAATCAAAACTGTACTACAATCATTATTTATTTCAATCCAGATTGACCAGGCATCCTTTATTTACAATAGACAACATCTCTCATTGCAAACAATTTTCTTTTCAATTTTTAAAATTCTATTAAGGTAGAAACATTTCAGAAATTAAATCATGTTTGGTTAAAGAGTGCATTACATATTACCGTAGCAATTATGCAAAAATTGTTTGATCTGTGGAAGGAAGAAAGAGTGAGAGAGAAAGACAATGAGAATTACAGTAATCCAACTGGTCTTTCCAACCGATTGTGAATTTTCTCTGGAACAGCATTCACTCTTATTGCCACGTAACATTTTTTTAGACCGTGCAGCCCATCTCTGGCATTCTGCTCGCATTTCGTAATCATAAAAATATCAGAAGCGGAAAGAAGATTCTTATTAAAACTTTTCCAGCGCAATAAATTCGGTAACAAACAGTTGACAGAATTTCTCCGCGTATTCAACATTGTTGTCCGCATTTCATGAAGGTGTCGCAGATCAAACTCTCGGTTGGAGAATTTCATTTTTCTGGTCGCTTCTGCAACTCGTTAAACATTCCCCGCGAGTTATAGAACGCGACTAAAACACGATGGGAAGCGTTCTGTCGACGAAAAAAAAAAAAAAAAAAATAAATCGCGGAGAGTGCAAATAAAGAAGAAAGAAAAAAACTAGTTCGTAAAACACGTTGTGTTTTCATATATTTTCCCTGTTCGTATCCATGAAACTGACTCGATGGTGCCTCTCGCAGAAAATGTGAAACGGAACAAACAAACAACTGCGTTCGTCCGTGAGAGGAATGTTTTGTATTTACATATTTTGAAAGGGGGTTTCTCCTTTCTCATCTCGAGCCGTGATATACCTTCGCCTCTTGACGTCTGCAACACGAGAACCTTGCATGCATTGATTTTACGAGATCCACCTGAGTGATTTTGAGAAAAATTACAGAATACAAGATCGCCAAACCGATAACATTGAAATGGTTACTTGTGAAAGGAAAGACATGTATAACCAATAAACGTGAGTGAAACAGTTGTGAATCATATAAATAAAGTATTTGCAGTTAGACTGACGACGACATGTACGCACGTTGCAGGATTTTGTATTTTCTTTTACATTATTCCACGCCTAAGATAGGCTTTTTAGTGGTTACTCGACCGGATCGATATCTACAACATCGTAACTTTTGATTTTGGTTGACGTGGGAGGATAATATTGTTATTAGGTTGATGAATAGAACATTAGAAAAACAGATCGATACGAGTTTCGTTGTGGCAACTTGTACATTCTAATTAAGCCGTGAGTGAAATCGACGAAGGAAAATTAGCGATGAAATTTTCATACGTTCCACTTCCACTTACTAACCGTCTATCTCTATGGCGTTACGTGTTTTAATTGTGATCTCGAACACCTGTTAGAGGACCATAGCTGTTCCATGAATACCGCTATTGAACCTCTTGCCAACGTCGTTTCGAAATTGAGCAACGGATTCCCCACATAATAACGACGAATTAATTCGTGTATAGTGAGTGAGTCAAGTCACTGATGCAAATTAGTAAATACATACGCCATCCTTGGAATAGCATACTAAAGCGAAACCGCAAATATGCGTATAATTATTTCATTTGTGTTCGTCGAGCAGCCTGCCAGGCATGCGCCGAATTTCGATACAAATGGAAACTTTCGACTATTAATAACTGCAAGTTGGTCGAATTGCTTTCACTGTAGGATTCATGGATTAATAAATTCGTGGCATTATAATTAATAAAAGGTCAAAGTAGCATCAGAAAAAGTATGAACTCCAGGGCTAAATCAATAGAGTGATAACCGGAGGCGTTACACAAATCCGATGCAAATAAATTTTGCTAATGAACTGCATGATAAAATTGGAACGTGTACGAAAACTTTCGTTTGCATAACTTCACATTAAATATAAACGGGACTTGAAAAACTTGTTATTTCCGCCCCATTACGTAATTCCACGTAAAATGTTTTATAATTCATAGCCTGTTAGTGCAGGCTGGGAATAACGAGAAAACGAAGCACGTTCGTGTTCAATTTTAAATTTCAGATTCAATAAGTACACGGGATGAGAGCCAACATGTAGACCGAAGAGAGACGCGAGAAAATAACAAAACATGGTGGACAAAGAAGAAATGACGAAGACACCCTCGCCCCTGAATATCAACGAGGCGATCGAAGGGGAAGTGTTGAACCAAAAGACTGCTAGGAGTAAGTATCACAGAAAGGAGAATGCGATATCTTCAAGAAATTTTATTGTTCTCCCTAGTATTAACTCTTCATCCGATCTAAACTTGAAAGCAATAAATTCTCGTCTTTTTTATGTCATCGGTTTGAGTAAACGAACAAATTTCGAGAGATTACGATACAGCGTCTTTCATTGCTCTCGAGTCTGGTATGAGAAATATTTTTTTTAAAAGACAAGATTTTTAGAAATCTCTTTGAAAGAAAGTTTTGGGATGTTCGAAAAGTTCGTAGTATGTTTATTATAATTTTTTATTAAATAATGAAATGTTCAAACGAATACTGCACTTTATTGAATACTAAAAAAAATTAAGGAAAAGCCAAAGGCCAAAATTCAAATCAATCAATAAATTCAATAAAACCAATAAATCAATAAATCAATAAAGCAGATACGTAAACAAAATATTAAATATTCTATGTAGAAACATGTAAAAGCTGTTGGAAGGAATTCTTTATCGAAGATGATGAAAAATATTTCAAGAGAAGATTCAAAAAGTTATAGATGGTAAAACATCTAATTCTAATGAAATCTTTTTTAATCTTTCGCTATAAATCTTCTGAACAATCTAATATAAAATAAAATGTACATAGAGGGTTTATTGTATCGTGCAAAAAAGATAAAAGGTTAAAAAGGTGAAAGTAGAATATTTAGTAGCGCAGGTTTCTAACTAACATTGTTTTTAATATTTATAATGAAAGAAGCTCATTGAAAATTTCTGTTTACCAGTACTTAAAAACGATCTCCTATTATACGAGGCTGTGATAAAAAATGAAGCGGACACCGTTCGCAAAGTGCTCAAAGAGCCCGTGGACGTCGATTCCAGGAACAATGTAAGTGGGAAAAAACAAGCTACATGATAAATCCAACAAATCTCAAACGGGAGAATATGAAAGCATTGAAAGAAATCCGCTACAATCGAATCACAGTTTACGTCGAATCAACTTCCGACACAAAAATCGAATTTCCCGAAATGGAGTCGAAAAATAGTACGGTTGCAAATAGAATTTTTCGCTTTGCGCTACTTCGTTAACACTAATGCTGTGCAAAACTCACTGCGCTGTCGAAAGCAGATAACATGAATACGTTCGTAGTAATGGCGGAGATGTAAGTCGATGTAAGGACGCGCGTCTGACTACATACGAGGCATTACTACTAGAGGCTCCATTAGCGAAGCATTAAGGATTCAATTAAGGAAATTTATCGTTTCCCCAATTTCGTCGTTGCTTTCGAACTATTTCAATTTTCTTGCATTTAATATTAATGCAATGAAATTTGAATTCGAATCAACCGTCTGACTGAGTACGAAATATTTCGCTTTAACGTGTTTACATATTTCTTCCTCGAGAGTTTACGTTGGTATTTGAACAGCACGCGATGAAGGAACGAACATCGCGTTCCCTACATGAAAATTAATTATATTTATCTTATATCGTATTCAACGGAACTATTCGCATGAAAAGTGATCGGGAACGAAAATATTAGATTGTTCCAAAAGTTTCTTTCCTTTTACAAAATGTCGTGCATCTATTATTTTCTTATAAAATGAAATAAACTTTTGTGCCAATCTAATACAAGACGAGTCTCTAGTGACTAATAGCGGTAATTTAATATCGATTGAAACGCTAGAAACACGCACGATACGCGTATGTTTGCACTGGAAAATGATTGTTTAGTATGGTCGGGCGCCAATTCATTGGGCAGCATCCAGGGGGAACACGGAGATCATAGAGATGTTGATACAAGCGAAATGCGACATCGAGGCCAGAGACAAGGTAATATCGCAGTGAAAATATTATCATTCAGATATTTGCTTCAAATAAAATTGAACTAAACCAGGATAATTGTCAGAACAAATGAACAGACGACGATTCAAACGTTATTACGAGTGTTTCTCGTCGTTTCGTTCAAATGTTAATTATTTTACATACACGCTTGCATTTTCTATATTTGAAGAGAATTTTATCGAATGTCAGAAAACCAGTGACTGGAATCTGAACAAATTTTATATAAAATTGACATAACGTAATTAAATTCCATTTGCCATGTTTCAAGTTCGGCATGCGTCCGTTACACATGGCTGCGCGATATGGACACAGGGACGCTGTTAAAATGTTAATCAACGCCGGAGCGAATGTGTCAGCGGTAAACAAGGTATATCGATAATTATACCGATAGATTGATACTAAATAAAAACATCGGAATCGAATCAATTTGAATCTTTCGAACCGACTGCAACTTCGTAAAAAAAGAAAATTTAAGTTGATATAAGTGTACGTCTACGATTTCATGCATCGTTCTCGTATAGGATCATAAATCGAGTCACGAACCTTTCTCGTAAAGTATTTCTTACGATGGAAGTTTTGAACGTGACCTTATCTTTCAAAGAAAACCCTTCACTGTTCTCGGAAATTCTTAAAGAAACCGTTCAAGATTATTTCTAAAGGAGCTTTTCTTTTGGAACATGTTTCAGTTCGTTTGGTTCAATAACAATACGATCCGATAAAAGATTTATATGTTGGCGCTGCAACGAGGCCAACATTACGATGACGTTCATTTAGTAAAGTAGTATGCGTAACTACTACTCTGTTACAGAAGCAATATACTCTCTTAATGTGTGCTGCTCGGGGCAACAACGTTCGCGTCGTCGACTACCTTGCTGAGGCAGTGGAATCGTTGAACGGAGATGCAACCGATTGTACCGGTGCAACAGCTCTTCACCATGCAGCCTGTGCCGGTCACCCAAGTATGATAACCGCGCTTACCAATGTGCCAAGAATCGAGCTGAATGCTGTGGATAAAGTAAGAGCTATCGTATTTCGTTATTTTCTTTTGTAACCGAAAAAAATGTGAGTTGAGCTGGAAGAGAAGTCGATGATGCAGGTAATGGGAACTGTGATCTTTCAATAAAATAATAGATTTAATAGTTAAAAATTTCAAGCGCGTGAAAATTTGAAATTAGAAGATTGCTTCTCGTTACTTTGTGTTCTTTTCATTTTTGTTCTTTCTTGTTTCGTAACTGTACACAGTTACGAAACAAGAGTTCAGCTTGAAAAGAAACCACTGGATTAAGGTGTATTTTTTAATACGCAAACTTTTAAATAAAAAAGTTTAGATTTAAAGTTCCAAATATTTGTAAATGTAAAATCTAAAGTTTCCGTTGCTTTTCGTAACTTTCCGTTATTCTCATTTTGTTACCTTGCATTACTTTAAATTTCATGAGCAAAATGTACTTGCAACTTCTTTCTCAACTTCGTCCCCAGAATGACAGGTTATATACCCAGTTCCTCGAAAGCAGCTTATTCAATGTGTCGTAAGATATTAATCCACCCTAAATTGATAGGAGAATGTAAATATTTGCAGACGAACGGATGCAGAGGAGGCAAGAAACTTCAATTTATACAGAGACTAGTGCCCGTTTTCTCTCTTTACCTCTGTGTCTCTCGATTTAGATACTGCGAAACTAGGTCTCCGACATTAGCTATATTGCCTTCTTATCGCGAAGACAAGTGAAATCCCCGAAGGACAGAGTGCAACGTACAGCAGCATGAATCTAACTACAGTCCTTTGAGGGAATTTTATAGAACTTGCATCGTTTTGCTGGTGCTTCCGGCTTTCCACTTCCAGCTATCGTACATTCGATCATGACGACTCATCCGTGACCTTTCCCTCTATATGTATATTCTTCTTTGAATGAAAACGTTTGATCTTTTCAGTATTCCGGAAAAATTGGAAAATTTAGACAGAAAATTGCGGGAATATTCAAACTTAAATAAACTCAATAATAATGATAACATTTTTCACAAAATATCATTTAATTTTTTCACAGCTGAATCTTTTCTTATTTGCAGAAAATATGTTTTTCCAGCTATTTGTACTAAAAATAAACTGCCCTCTGAGATGCACTAATTTTTATCCAGAACTAAATCACATAAGAAACTGGAAACTCTTCAAAACATAACAATGCGTGACGAAGTTAACAATTTCGTGTTGATTTACAGAAAGGCCAGACGCCTATACATTGTGCCTGCGCGGAAGAACATCTAGAAGCCGTGGAAGTTTTAATAGGACTGGGAGCTAAGGTGGATGCTCAGGACAATGAAGGCAACACGTGCCTTCACGTGGCCACGAGAACGAGGCACACGGCTATAGCTCAATTGCTATTGAGAGCCGGGGCGAACACTGAATTAACCGACGAAGTAAATAACGTTTTAACTTCGTTATCATCTTACTAATCAACGAACGTACTCGATCGTTCCTTTTATAGATGGGCTTTACTCCGCTTCACGTGGCTGCCAGTCAGGGTTGCAAAGGGATATTAGATTCGATGATTCACCATGGGGCAGCACTCAACAAACAATCCAAGGTATACTTAAGATACGTGTGATCGATATTCAATAATCATCCATCACCGGGAATCGGTTTGCAGCATGGAAACACGCCTTTGCATTTGGCCTGTCAAAACAACGAAGTAGAAACGGTCGAGATACTGATCAATAAAGGCGTCGATCTAAATTGCTTAAATTCGGTGCGTACGACAGTGTTCGTGGATGAAACGCATTTTTACACATTCGCTCGTGACACGATTCGATTCTATCTGTTCCAGAGATTACAATCGCCGATTCACATCGCCGCAGAAATGGGACACACGGATATTTGCGAACTACTGCTAGCAGCAGGTGCGAATATCGAACAAAGGGAACAGGTAAATACCGATACTATTCGCTTTTGGTAGTTTCGTTCTTTATTTGCTTTTCCAAAATGATATAAATAGGTTCATGAAAAGATTCGAAAACTCGTAGATATTTTTTATGAATACATCATGTATGTAGTAGGAAACATTTCAAAATTTTGTTAACGTAACGTAATGAGACACGACTGTCGTGATTATATTGGCATAGTTTAAATCCGATCTAAAAATGTACATTCAGTGGAAATATATATATTTCGTAGAGAGCACAAAAGTATTTAAACGGACAATTAACCATTCTATTAACAATCTTCAACATTCAGTTACTCCATTTTTTACATGTATTACATGTTTAAGACGTTTGTTTATGGTATGCTAGTTTTTTGCTAAATATATGATTGCAGCGAATATTTCCTCTTTCCTATCTACGTTTTCAGATTTGTTTTAAATTGTACGAATATAACCATAACAGTGGTATCACGTTACAGAGCTGACAAAGTTTCAAAGTTTTCTATAAACCATGTAATATTACATAAAAGCTTTCCACGGTAACTGTTGAAATATTCGTATATCTGACATGAAATTACCGAAATAGCTGAAACTGGCACAACTGGTAAAATCAACGTTACGGTGGAAACTTAGTTGCACAAGTGTATCGCGGTTTTACTACCTGCAACCGCGAACGTAGTCCCGGACGTGTCGTAATGTACTCGACGTCCATTTCCATTTCCAAGCATTAAACTTCGTTTGTAAAATAATACCGGGGTTATTCCATCGGGAAAATTTCTTGCAACGGTGTGGCATGTCGACCCAACACAATCAATGTAGGCGTCTCTTTGTACCGAGTATGTTAACCCCGGTTTAACACGAATGTGACGAGCTAACATAGTCAACAAGGCTACCTTCCTTGAACAAAGTTTACACAGGCAGGGCAGCGTGCATGATATGCTTCAATTCGAGAGTACTCCAACTTGACATCGACACCGCTGTGGCATTTGTGAACTTAATAAAGTTAATAAAGTTAAAACGAAGTTGTCGGATGTTCACAGAGCGGCAGGACACCGCTTTACATCGCAGCAAGAGGCAGTTTCACGGCAATCGTCGACATGATAATTAAAACCGCGAGATTGGACTATCCCACACCGGTAGGTGGCTTAAACGTTTCATTAAGGTGACGTAAAATTTGCAGAATATTATGTTCCCTTGGTTTACAATTATTATTCAGTCGACGACCCGAGACTTTTGTGTTAACTCATTAAGAAGCGGTGTATTAACGTAGCACTTCCTTTGCATATATTTTTCCAATTAATTTGCATCGTTGAATCTCGCTTCCTAATATCAACGAAGAGAGGAAACATTCCGACGATTCGTTTGGTATTTTCTTGCAACAAATTTTTCATTCGAATCTCACGATATTATGAAATTCAAAATACGAAGTATTTCTATTCTTTTTTAAAATCATGGAAATTCTTATGTGTGATTCTGACAAACAATTCCAAGGATTCATTTAATATTTTTATCGTCGCTATCTCTTCTTCCATCTAGATCTTAGAATTTTATAAAGCTTCAGTCTAAAGTCCTGAAATGTCTCTATACTACTGTAATCTAGAAATTTTTCTTGTGTGTCTGATGTGTATAATAAAACATCTAAAGTATCTACCTTGATAAAACAATGCTACATTTTATCAACGTTTGTCAATAATGTTACGTTTACGTAATTTTTACACTTCAATTTGGTTCATAAAGAATAAACAACCTGTAGAAGGATCAAATTTTACACGTACAGCAGACAAAGGTGACAGACAGGGATCTTTTCAGGAGGATTCAACATCTGACAAAGAAATTCGTGATCTAACGCCAGCTAGAAGAAGATGGCGAGAAGGATCGAGGGGTGGAAGCATTTCCAGTAACAATGGCGCCTTTTCGGAGCATATTCGATCGATTTTATGGAAGTTGGCATACAAACAATTAGGTCCCGAGGATTGGAAAAAATTGGCGTTGCATTGGGCGTTCACAAACGATCAGATTCGAGCAATCGAGCATCAATACACTGGTAAAATAATTATTTTATACATGTTTTATAAGAGAAAATTTCAAATCGAAAACGCGAAGATTGCAAAGAGTCATCGAGGTATAAAGTTCATTTCTTAAAATAAGTAGTTCTCGAATGATAAAGACGATTAGATGATTTAACGATAAATTGTAATTTACAAAAATATTTTGATCCTCGATGTTGCCTCCGTAAACCGAGAACAGCCTTACGAAAAGGACGATAAAGCTCCTCTTATAGGTCCTTCGAGTTACAAGGAACACGGTTTCCGAATGTTGATGATCTGGGCGTCGGGATTGAATCCTGAAATCTCCATAGGGAAAGAGCTTTGCGACGCTTTGTTTGCAGTAGACAAAAAGTCTGTCGCTGGTAAGAGATTTATTACAAAATTACTAATATATTTATTTTGCAATGAAAAAAAAAAAACTATTGTGAAAATAATTATAGAATCCGTTCGTAAGCACATGGATCAAGAGAAAGACGGAAAAGAGAAAATGAACAAACAGCGATGTCATAAATGCTCGATCACTTAAAGATAATTCATGATTCTGTTTGAATGAGAAGAAAGTTACGAAGGACAGAAATTAGGAGAATTTGAAGGATCTTCGGTAGAAAATTTTAGCGATACTCACTACGTGGCATATCTGTAGAGACGCTGATCTTACCTTTTTTACAGTATGTTTCAATATAGAGGCGTGTATCATAGTGAAATTGTCGTTTAGCATTCGAAGATCAACGAAACGAAAATAAGTTCTGCGAATCAACGAAAGCTTTCGATATATCGCGAAATCTGATTTGAATCTTTCAAATGAAATGGAACAAATTCATATCATCGCGCAAATGTACAAATTTTCGAGTCTAGATATTTTAATGTTGATACTTTATATATATTTTTAGAAAATTCGAACAATTCAGCAGTGTTGTAACTTTCATTTTCATTTTTTAGTTAAAGGAATGATCGACGTCCGAAGCCGTCCTATTTCATTTTATCTTTTATTCGATATATTCATCCAGTTGTTCGAAAATCCTATTCCAAATTTCTACTGTAAATATGTCAGCGTAATACGTAAATACTTCTAGAATAAGTGCGAAAAAACAAAGAAATTATACAGGGCTTTCGATGTGATAAAAGAAATGCATAGAGAGTAGACGAAGGAAACTATCACGAAACTTTCAATCATTGTATAATTCGAGGAAGACAATCTACATATCTGAGTATTACGTACAATTAAATAAATGCCTGATTAATAGTCTATAGTAAACTATTTTTAAACCACTATACCCCGTCCAATTATGAAACAATATTTAGCAGAATTATCCATTAGAAAGAAAGAAAATCTGATTTATATTTCTCAACATTTCAAATATTGAAAACTAGAATTTCAATAATAACTTTAGAATTATAATTGAAATTCTAATTTTCGAAATAATAACTTTAAAAATACAATTTCTTAATAATTTACGAAAGAAACTAAAATCCGTAATTTTATGCGATAGTTTCAGGCATCAATATCTCGGTATAATAAAATTCCGTGAAAATATACTGACAAAATTTCGATATTCCATAAATCTCCAAATAAAATATATATAAAAATTAAAATATCTTACCTTAAATCGATCCTAATCCTTGAATTGTTGATCTTGAAAATGATAACTTGCAGCGGGGGATGATAAGGATGTTAGGCAGTGTAAGGTGGTTATCAGGAAAATTGGCAGGATACTTATCAGGACAATGGTGTATCTGGAGTAGCCTAAACAGAGTATTCTATTAAAATGTGAATGTTTATTAATCCATACGGAATATTCATTTGTTTCTATACTATAAAAGAATGCATTTCTTGCTGTTTCCATCCTCGCAATATATAACAAAATATTATGAACGATATATCTATCATCATCATCATCATCATCATCATCATCATCATCATCATCATCATCATCATCATCATCATCATCATCATCATCATCATCATCATCATCATCATCATCATCATCATCATCATCATCATCATCATCATCATCACCACCATCACCATCACCATCACCATCACCACCACCACCACCATCATCATCATCATCATCATCATCATCATCATCATCATCATCATCATCATCATCATCATCATCATCATCATTATCATCATCATCATCATATTATTATTATTATTATTATTATTTCATTACTAATTTATAATAGCTATCAGCGGTGATGGTATAAACAAGGCTCGAGTGCCACCAATGGCAATTAGTTATCATAATCGTATATCGTACCCAGAATTGTACAAATCGTACATTAAATAGGCATATAAATTCACGCCAGGCTTCCTAACTCTTAACATTACATTTAAGTGCTATCAATAATTAATTATTAATACAATGAGAATCACTATAGCTCCGTGGTTCTGTCGATTTTCACTCCTCCGTAGAATGTCAGCCTTTCTGATAACTAATTATTCTTTCTGTTCGAACGCTTACATACGAAAAAAGTGATGATGTATGTCTCATACCATTGCGAAAAAGTACGTGCGTGCCGGTGACCGAGAAGCACAATGGTGTTTAGCATCTTTATTTTCATTCTTTGTCTTTTATTTCTTCCGTCTGGGAAAAGAACACTGACATATCGAGGGAAACGTTCACACGTGTTTCTACGATTTTTTAACGCCCTTTATCGTAACAACTTCCCGGATGTACGAAAATATACGTTATACTTAGTCTCATAGGCATATACAATTAATAAATACAAATATCCACTGTTAACTGCACTTACGTAAATAATGAGGTCTACTTAGTTTAATATTTTTAAATTACACATTATTCTAAATATGGACGAAGCTATTGGCTCGCACAAAACGCAGATACGTGACACATCTACGCATTTTTTAAATCGTTTCCACTCTTCTGCCGCTTTCGTGCATACTTTCGTTCTCTATATTCTTATTCTCGAACCATGAAAAATATATACTCTTCCTTTACCTCCATTCTCTTTTCATCGTAACGCACGAAACCTTTCTAATCCCAATACATACGAATAATTACCGAGGAATTCGCGAGGATTGGAGTTGCTGCTCTTATTACGATGTACATGAATAATTCGTGTTTCGTTCGTTCGATATATAATAATATATATGCATATTTATATAAGTCTCCGATTCTCGAAGCGGAAGAAAGAAGTGGGTACCAAATTAATACGCAAACAACTATACAACAGACACAACAAGTGAAAGAGTACAAACGTAAAACACAAGAAACAAAAGGAAACATAAAATATATAGGAGATGGAAGATTGAATTTAGGACAAAGGACCAGTTTGATTGTTTAAATTAATATGCAAAACATCCCTTTTAATTCTCGCGGCCCGTTAAGCCCGACCGCGGCTAAACGCGTGTTTCCGGTTCTTTTACCTCAAGTCCACAAGCCTCGCGTCATCCAGTCAGTAAAATGAACAGGACGTCTAGGAAATAAACTTCCTACGGCAGAAATTGAAAAAAACAAAGGATTAGGTTTCTTGTCGAGTTTTGAAACGAATTTATTTTTTGTTTGTTTTAATCGCCGATCGGAATTATTAAATTTAAAAAATGAACAAAATTGGTATCAGCTTATTCTGTACGTGTCTTTTCTCATAAAATGTTCCGTCGCGAGATAATTCAAAGAGATATTATCTACTTTTTGATTTGATCACAGATTCGAGGTAATTTCCTATTTTAACGTCTCTTACAAATTAACCAAATAAAGGGGTGGATATGAAAAAAAGAGAAAGGCAATCAGACAAACTGATAAGTCACGTTTCTAAAGTACTTAATCGCTTCTTGTAGCTAATTCTAAGACGAAGATTTCAATGGATCGATACGTTGAAAATGCTTACATCTAAATCTTACAATACCTATAACCGTTTTGGATGAACCAGTCAACATTAATGCTTCTTAATAAGATTCCAGTTTCCTTACCACATCTTTCTTTATAATCGCGAAACAAAAATTCTCGACCGATCTGTACGAATTTTCCCATAGAAAATAAGAAGTAAATGATTAATTCGACAGTTTGATCTACACAGCCTGGCCGAAAGTAATTTTATCTCTTTAAAAGCGATCGTAAATAGTTTATAGTACAATGCTGGGAAGAACTTCTTCGCTTTGAGTTCGGAACTGGTGTTTCCTGATCGTGTATAATAATTGGTCCTTGATGCTCTTCCAGAACTGGCAACTCGCCTTCTTTTAATGATCTCTCGTCACATCTTCAGAGAACTTCTATCCTGCAGTCCACGAATACTCTCCAAATGTACAATTTTTCGATGATAGTCCTTGAGATCTTTTTTCGCTCCTCTTCCGACTCAAGTCGTAATGAGAACAGCAAAAGAACGACCATTCTGCGTTCCATTCTTATAAAAAGCGTAACCACCGTTCTTTCATTGCTCTGAGACCGTTATTCAAGACATGCCTCTCTCGTAGACTTAAAAAAGCTATACAAAAGTTATCTTCGTCTCTTTTGCTCTATTATGATTCTCGTTGCCATGCATGCTCACTCATACACGCACACACAAACGAAGATTTACACGTGTGATATGCAAGTGTCGTGTAAGCGCGACATGTATGATGCGGCAGTCGATCGTTGATTAATATGAAAAAAAGAAGCGAAACATCGCGTGATACGGCGAAAAACCGATTTGTTTTTCAGTCCATCTCTAGCGACGATAGGGATGGTAATTGTTGGAGCTGGATGAGGATCCTGTGTGACCCCTTTTGGGTCCACCGCCGCCGTTGTTGCCGTTGGTTCCTGGGGCAGGAGAAACGCTTCCTAGTCTCGGAGGTCCGTATTCGGTGCCTGTTAGAATCGTATAAATGAACGTACGTGTGCCAGGACGCGATCCAGGATTGTAATCAAGGAAAGATCGGTAGAGACAGAGAGCAGTAGCGTGTGTAGTCACGAACGAAAGATGGGACGATTCGAGGACGATCGAAGAGATTGACTATGGATCAAATAAAAAATTTCTCGAATCATCGAGCCCAAAATAAAATAGCATTGATCGAAGCATTGTCAACCTCTTTGATAATCTTGTCGGGCACAGTGGCGGGTTTGAAAGCCACGTCGCGATAAAGAATTTTAGGTCACAGGAAAGAAATGGTGGATTAAAAAAGAGATTGACAGCGTTAATGGAAAGGATCGCCCCCGGAATTACGAATTAATTGAATTGGCTCGAGCAACGCGACGCGCGCGTGAACGTAAAAGTAAATTAAATAGTAATAGCGATTGAAGGATGTTAGGTGGTCGATTCGTGGGCGAGAATCTTCAAGATCTTCTAGAACGTGCTCTGTCAACAAAGCTCCGAGAATACACTTTACATAAGATTTATAAAAAGAAAAAAAATGGTGTATTAATATCGATATATTAGAATTAATTAATAATCTATATGATTAACGTATAATAGAAAAAAGAAGCAGAAAACGATCAGGTCGTGCAACAAAGAAATAAATTCTATCAAAAATGTTTCGTAACGTGCAAGTACGAAAAGCTTATTATATTACGTCCTTGATCATCTTAATCGTATAGTGCTTATCGACTAAACACCGCCGACTTAAATATACGAGGATTAAAACAATGAAGTTATAATATGCTCCTTACTTTTCATCCAATTCTCGCTCTCTCCCTTTCTCTCCCACTCTTTCTCTCTTACAATTTTCAGTACAAAATTTATATTTCTTCCATATCTCTCGCGGCCTTAATAATTAGTATAAAAGGACTTAGTACTATGTATCACGAGCGCCGAGCAACTTCGAAGCAAATAGAGTTTACGATCAAGTTTAATTTGAATCTCCGCTGGGAGCTTCATCTTCCTACACACGAATTTCAACGCGTCTTCCCGATTCGAACAGGACGTTGACGCAAAGGACGCAATTTAGTAGAATTTAGTCGAGCTTCGACTTTGCACAGTAAATGAATTAAAATGATCCGATCTTGAAACAAGTTGCTATACTTTCAAGTTCAAGTACAACAAAGGACCCTGCCCTAAATTTCGACTTATATTTCGCAGCCTCTTAAATAAATATACAGACAATCATTAATACCATGATTCCATTTTCTACATTAGATCTATGCGTATAAATTAAAAAAAGGGGGGGGGGGAAGAATAGCATAGATATGTCACAAATCTAAAAAGCTCCCGTATGGTAAAATTTAATTAATATACGTAACTTAATAACAGATCTAAATGGTAGGCCTTAAGTAATCTTAATTTTTAAAAGGACGCGTCACTTGCACGTA